TCCTTTCCCCCAACAGCGGCCGGTAATCGAGTCTACAGATGTAAAACGATATTACCTTATCTAGAAGGTCTCGATCCCACGGTATTACTCCTAGATGAAAAGATGTCAGCTCATTATACGTCCACGTGGGGGAAGAGCACTTTACACGGGGAACTGAGGGAACTGAACGTGGTCAGCCTCGTGATGAAGAGTCATTCTCAAAGAAGTCAATCACGGAATGTATTTCTTGTAATAAAGTCAATACAAGTTATGCTGGATTGAAAAATTAGTCTTAGACCACAGAACTATTCAGATTGGTATCAGCCTACCTGTATATCATACCCAGTATCCCTCCTCCAATAGAGCCGTTGATAGTTACAACTGCTGCCCTGTTTAACAAATTGCATTAAGTTCGCACCGGTTAGAAGACACGTTGCAGGGACGCAAGGCGGTGACAAGCCCCTTCGTGTGTACACATTTTACGCATGTTGAAGGGACGGTACTCAAACTGGTGCACACGAGGCGGATTGAGACATACAAGTGTGTTGTTGTGGGGACAGTTTGCAAGAGCAGTGTACACCATGCGACATTCAAAACTGAGGTCATTTTGTCCCTGCTTCATGATCCACGTATTCAAACCAGCTGAATTTCATGCAGCATGTTGCGGGGACGAAACAAATCTTTCTTCGTAAAAACACGCGCATGACGTCACATGAGGGATACTGCGGCTGCAACAGGTGCCCGCCTCTTGTCCGCGCAACATGTCCCCCGGTGTGAGCCGACTATAAAAGGTTGCGACTACTGGAGTAAACGCGCAAGAACTAATGAACGTTTTACGAACGCACGCCTACTTTTGGTTCGTGATCTAACCTGGCAGGCTAACATAACCCAATTTCGATGTATTAAAATTCAGCCTGAAACAATACACCTCAGCACGAGGCTGTGGGGAATAAATCCCACAAACTCTGTAGTTATTCTCCAAAAACTCGAGCTGATGTCTATTGTGTTAGGCTGAATTTTAATACATCAAAATTGGTCTACTGCATGACGCGCCGATAAGACACCTACGAGCAAATAATATATGGACAGATTTTACTAATGATTTAGTAATCCTTGATGAAAAAACATCGTATAATGGCAATCCTTATACAGGTAAATGTTACTTTACAACTCGAATCGGTAAAAAAAATACTGCATCACTATGACTTACCACCAGTTCGGTAAAAGATCATAATTACACGAAAGACAAGACTTAAAGATCGAGTCAAGCCCAATTCCGAGCTGTACGTTATATTAACGAGTTGCGAGTGTTCTGTTATATTAACGAGTTTCGAGCTGCGAGTGTTATGACGTTTACGGCAAACGGCATAAATGTCTCTGAATTTGCATTACTTCTTTAATGATTTAATTGGCCGTTAATAAGGCCCATTTTATACTAGAACATTCTTACCTGGAGGTAAGCTTCCACTTCATTCCGCTTATTCCAAATGTGCTGCCACAATTAAACCCAAGCCAGCCCCACCATAGCATGAAGGTTCCCAGGAGAACGTTTGTAGGAGAAGCCATTTGTTTCGGTGGAGAATTTGAATCGAATCTGCCAGTTCTTGGCTTCAACATTAAAGTCGCCACCAGACCACTCACTCCGCCAACTAAATGCACCGCGCCGCATCCGGCAACATCAACGGCGCCCATTTTCCGAAGCCAACCATTATCGTCCCAGATCCAATGAGCAGGAATACTGTATGTCAGGGTGTTTAAGAATGAGTAAAGTGTGTAGGCTTTTAAGCTTGCTCTTTCCGCCATCGCGCCAGAAACAATGGTGGTCGCAGTCGTGGCGAAGGAGAGCTGAAAAAAGTACTTTGAAAACACCTGCCCCATTTCGCTTTCCTCAGCGTCTGTCAAAAAATATCCAAGGCCGAAAAATGGATTTTTACGCTCGCTGATTCCGAAGCTGAGTGCAAATCCAAAAAGCCAATAAGACAATCCACCGTAGATCACATCAATCGCGTTTTTGACCATGATGTTTGCTTCATGATTTCTGGAGACCATTCCGGATTCGAGAAGGCCGAATCCGGACTGCATTGTGAAAATGATGAAAGCGCTCGTCAAAATCCACGTAGCGTCATCTGGACCTATTCCTTTAGCGTATTCTCCCTTACCGACGTCCTTTGTGGTTGGTACTGCGGTTGAATTCAACGTGAAGTTTGCATGATCCATGTTCGTTGACTTTGATCTCTGGGCAAGGAAAGCCCAGTCAGAAGAATTCTTTAATTACGTAAAAGTTATATCTGGAGATCAAACAGGTTGCCTGCAGAACTCTGATCATGTGTCACTTTTCCAACCCGTCCTGCAAAGTCCCTTTCAAATCGCTTCAGTTTCAGTTGAAGAGTTCCTGTTTTAAAAATAGTCAGAGGAAACTGACAATATTATTTGGTTCTTTGGAAAAGTTTGGACACTTTTAGAAGAAACGTGTCTCTACAACAGAGAGTTTCCTTTCAAGGCCTTAGAACTTAAATATTAGCCCAACTTTATGATAAAAAAGAAGAAAAAAAAACTACTATTTAGGGCCGAGCAGAAGTTGAATTTATTTAAATTTACAAAGAAGAAAAAAATCTGGACAGAAATTTACATGTCATTTATAATGGCGATGGTGATAAACAAATATATATGGTGAAAACGAATAAAAAATTAACAAGTCACGGTATCTTTACTACAGATAAACATTTCTCCTCGTGCACGGTTATGTCATTAGCTACTGAGAACTTTATACCTGCTCTATTATAAGTTATTTTTTATTAAAAAAATAGACATCAAAACCCACTGTTAATGGGTAAGTATTTGTTAAATGTTATGTGTAATGTTTAAAACTCTGTATTTTATCCAGCATGACTGACAAGTAGATCTAACTACACTGAACGAACAGATGACCTTGCATGAGACTTCAAGTACGCTCACTGTAATATATACCATACTATTTTCATTTGAAGGTCGTGGAAATTCAACCTTTACACCGTATGCATGTGCTGTGTACCTCCATTTTCAATAACTCTTTCCCCTGAGTCTCATCTTAATTTTCATTTATTCATCTTAATTATAAGGTGATACAAACTGAAGAACTGAAAGGATGTAAATTCTCCCTGGTTTCACTTAACAATCAGGGCGTCCTACGTCGATCTTGTTTTGACATTTGTTAGAAAAACCCTATAATTTTAGCCAGAAATACGATCATGGGAAATGGGAAAACCCAATTTATCTCTCCAGTAATTTTCTGTTTTATCAGGTTTCCGTTCGGCAATCGAGCTTGGAAATAAAATCGATAAATTTGAGCATTTTAGTCTTGACAGAATTCATGTGAGAAAGATAACCGAACGAATTTTTAAAAAAAAAACTGTGATATTCTAAAGATACCTTACCTTTTAACTAGTAATGAAAAGTAAAGATACACCTTGGTTTTCCTCTTTTTCCGAAACAGGCTTTACACTGGAGCTACTGAAATAACTCTTCCTTTAAGTACGGAGTTGTTACAATATATATGATTCAAAAGTACGATAAACGTTTTATTTGACGTAAGATAACTGTATTGTAATAACTAAGGACTTGAATGCCAAGCTCGCCAACTTAACTTTGAGTGGGCGAAGATAAAACGACGACAGATACAATTGTACTGTGGCAGATAAGAACAAAACCGAATCGCAAAATCCACAGCAATAACACAAAACTTAAAACAGGAACGCAAAACCTAGAATACCAACCCAAAACGTAAACAGGAACACTAGAAAACCCACAATACTAACACAAACCACAAAACAGAATAACGCGACCCACAACATTAACCCAAAACTCAAAACAGGAACTCAAAACGCAGAACACGAACCCAAAACTTGAAACAGGAATATAAAGCACACAACACTAGGTAACCCAAAGCCTAAACGGGAACACCCTACAAAACCCACAATCCTAACACAAACTGCAAAACGGAATAATAAAACCGAGAACATTAACAAGAAAAAACTTGAAACAAGAACACAAAACCTAGAACACTAACTCAAAACTTAAGTGGAAACACTCTACAAAACCCACAATACTAACACAAACCGCAAAAAAAAGTAACAAAATCTAGAAAATTAACAAAAAACATGAAACAGGAACACAAAACCCAGAACACTAACTCAAATCTTAAACAGGAACACTCTACAAAAACCACAATACTAACGCAAATCACAAAACAGAATCACAAAATCCAGAACATTAACAAAAAACCCAGCACACTTACCAAAAACGTAAACAGGAACACTCCACAAAACCCACAACACTAACACAACTGAACCCAGAAAACAGAATCATAAAACCCAGAAAATGAACAAAAAACTTAAAAAGGAATCACAAAACCTAGAAAATTAACCCAAGACTTCTACAGGAACACCCTAGAAAACCACAACACTAACACAAAACTCAGAACAGGAACACATAACTTAGAGCATGGTCATTAACACAAAACTTAAGACAATATCAAAAACCCAGAGCATTAACACAAAAATTAAACAGAAATACTCTAAGAAACCCACAATACCAAAACAAAACTTAAAACGGGAGCACAGCACTAACCCAAAACTTCAACAGGAACTCATCAGAAATCACACAAAACAGGAAAGTTCGAAGCAGAAAATACGGGCTGTTCTTTTTCTTAGTCGCCAAATGGGAAGCCATAGTGCCAGCCGTTCCCAGCGTAGAGCTTGGAAACTTGGGATGAGAATTGAAAACAGCTTACGCTTCCGCGAACGACATTATTTACAGAATGCTGATTTTAATTCTGAAGAAAACTTTGGAAAGAATCATGCATTTTACGCTCATCTTACACACAAAGATGTCAAGCGTTTTCGGAACGGGTTGGTCCACGAATTCTATAGCATGAAAGGTAGCCAAATTATCCAAAGGTTCACACTAGTTCTCACGAACACCTCAGATATTGAAAAGAAAGAAAGGAAGCTTCGTTAACAGAACTTCGAAGGTAAGATAAACAACAAGCAATTGGATAAAGAGGATGCTCAACGAAGCAACATGACTAGTAAATATCTAAGCTTAACTCTTGTGTTAAAACGTCCTGATTCTTTTATTTCTTTTTATTGTGTTTAATACTTGTAGAGTAAGATCTGATATTGCGATACGAAGCTCTTGGAGCATTCGGTTAAGATGTCAGCTGTCACGTCAAAGCGAGCCTCGCTTTGGACACTTCACGAACGCAATAAATGTAATGATGTTATTGAGCCCAGACTGAATCAAAAAGTAAATTTATATGACCCACAGTACAGATTCTTAATAACTAGGAAATTATTTGAGAAAACGCATGACCAGTTTTTGTCAAATATTAATTAAAATAAAAACGGAGATATCAATACGCTACATTTACTGTCGTTTTACTTGAAGATCTTTTGAGACACGTTTAATTCGCGATTTTGAGGTGCGCATATTTCGCGACACTTAAGGATGATTTCCAGTCCGTACTGCGCACTTTGGAAAGTTGATTACGTTTTTGTTTTGTTTCATGCATGACGTCACAAAATGTGAACATTTCGCAACTACATACATGAGGGGAAGCTTTATGCTTCGTTCTTTCTCATATCACTCGACGAAACGACTTTGCAGCTGTAAAAATCAATGAAGCAGTTGGAAAAAGAATTTGAAAGGCCTCAAAGATAAGGTATGTGGTCCATAACGAATAACATCG